GTCAAAAGGTTGAGAACCGCTGCTTTCCCCTCGTTGTCATGGCATCACATCCTCCACATTCTCTCGGGAAATTCATGTTCGTTGTGGCAGTTGATGGAGCTGCAGAGCTTGAAGGGGGTTGCTAAGGGGGATGCTAAGGGGGTTGCGCAGGGGGTTGCTGAGGGGGTTGCTAAGGGGGTTGCTGAGGGGGTTGCTAAGGGGGTTGCTTGAAGGGGGTTGCCAAGATTGCAATGTCTGCTCAGATTTTGGGCTGCTGCTGGTTCGAGTTGGGAGCAATAATGGTCCTGTGTAAGGCCAATGCTCGTCCAGGTTTGGGTCAATATTTGACCCGTTTTGGGTAAATTTCATTGGTCCAATATTGGTTAAATATCTCAGTGGAATATCTCACCATGCTATGGGGCCCTTACCCCAAAGAACACGAAGTATGTAGGTTATCTTAATGAACTATTGTTCATTAAAGTGACGACAATGAGCTTCCGCGGACGAAAGTGGGCGAAAGTGTCGATCTAATGGTGCATCTTACAATGAGCCGTGTCCCGTCCGAGGATTCGCGGCCTCTCCAGGAGGCAAGTCCAAATTTTGCGACAGGCTCTCTGACGGGTTCCAATTCATTTGCGGCACTCTGTACACATTTATATTTAGTAAGGAATCAAAATAAAAAAAACATCAAAGCTACGAAGTTGAGGATTTCAGGGAAAAGTCTCCAGTCGGCAACCTTGACATTTCGTTGACGACAATGAGCTTCCGCGGACGACATTAAGCTTCCGGTCGCTACCTGCTGGAACCGTCTTTTCATGGAAGAGGGATGATTCAATTCTCTGAAAAATTTTTCTGCGAATGTAAGCAGAAAAATGGAATGGCGCATTTAAATTCCGGTTCGAGAAGGAAAATACAATGATTAGAGAGAATACGCGGATGTGAATCTCCTTCGCAAGGGCGAAAGAGCCAAATGAGTCAAACATGAGCATCTCTTACAATCGGTTATCGAATTTTCTATCCAACTGATCAAGCTTGTTATTTTTTTTCCCTTGGAGTTGAGGAATGAGCAGAGGAAATTTCCAGATTTTCCGCGTTTTTCGTCGAACTCGAGCGTTCTTTGGGTCTCCTTACGATCGAAAAGACCCAGCTGCATGCTACGCCATTAATTAAATTAATTCCATTAAGACGAGGCTTACAGAGACGCAACTCATATGGGATGTTCCCTGGGAACTCCTGGCACCGAGATTTACGCGCCGGTGTGAGCTGGTCTTCATTTTTTTTGGAAATATATATGTCTATACTTTATATACAGGTACATGTGGTTCTGAACGTCTCTAAAAGATACCGTCAGAAATCTTTGAAATTATGCAAAGGTTAACGAGAAACGGAAAATCTACAAATGGGACGGTGAAGACCAACAGTTTTCATTGCAGTCTGTTAGGATGACAGAACAATTCCCAATTCGCTTAGACTGCTTCTGGTTATCACTGGAAATTAAAGTACCATTCCACATCCATTTTCCCCACCAGGGAGCAACTCATTACAAGAGGTGGAAGCTGCTGCCCTCGCGGAAGGGGATCTGGGCGGGATACGAAGTCAAGTGGAAGAACATGTACGAGCCTTTCTTCATCTCCAGGAATTCCGCGCCCTCCTTCGACGAGAGATTCCGCAATTACGGCTACGACCGATCTGCTTATGTGAGTGCCTCAAATTTCTGCCGCTTTTAGCTCAGTAATGATGCGATATGTACAAAGTATGCCGTTATCGCAGATGTGCGAACTGCACGTGGCTGGCTACCGCTTCGCCGTGTTGGACAACGCCTACATCCTCCACGACGGCTTCAAGGAGGACATCTACTTCTCGTATCCCCACGCCCGCGAGGGCCTGAAGGCGAATGCCATCGTGAGCCGAAAATTCCGCGCCGAGCTCCAGCTCAAGTACAACACGACTTGGAGGAGTTGCGAGTCCTGGTTCTTGCATTCCATTGAGTTCTTGCACGTTTTCATCGGCACCGTCATATGATACCCTCTGGATTCGCGTGAAAGTTGTCCGAAGGGGTTTGCTCAAAAATTTCCGAATTTCGATGGTGTTCCATGAAGCTTTGCCAGTTTCGCAAGGTTTCTAAGATTTAACGCCATTTCGACTCATCTGGCCCGGGGTGTTTTTTTTTTTTAATTTTTAGTGTGACTGCAAGTAAAACGTTCAGTGTCTCAAAGATGATGACGTCAGGCATATACAGGAAAATTCCCATTGAAATTCATGGATGATATTCATGAATGATTCGATTTCCTGTTATTGCACTCGTTGAGGCATGCGAACTGCAGAGTCATCTGGAAGGTTCTGAAAATCTCAGAAGATATAACATTTTCTCGGGAAAAAAAAAACTTTTCCCCAAAATCGACAAAGATCATCGAGGCGAAAAACTTTCCCATGGCTGCGGACGAAACGCCGAGGGAGATCTCACATCAAACAACTTTTTCCCTTTGAAAATGAAAGCAAATAACCCGACACCCGGATTCCAGTTCCCTTTGCAGCCAGTAAATTTTTTTTCTTTTATTTTTAACCTTCATTTTTGCTTCATGTCCTTCCTCGTTGTTGATGGTTGTTCCATGATGTTCAGTCCTGCAGTTTGCTTCTTCTTGTGCGATTAAAATTAGGGGCAGGCCCCCGACCGAGGACTTTCTCATGATGAGAGCTTCCAATATTCATGTTCAATATTTGATTATGATGATGAACTTGCCGTTCTAGCTAATATTGTGAAGTGAAGTCATCACGCCTGATCAGGAATGCGAGAATTACAATCATGTATGGTACTGGAAAAAAGAAATCGTTTAATTTCAATGTCCTGAATTTCTTTTTTACCCCCACATTCCCGGAAAAAAAGAAAAATCGAAATTCCATATTACGGATAGCTGAATACTGATAAATGATTATCTGTCATTACCTCTGCATGTCTGGTTCAAGGTTCAGGGATGAGCCGATTTAGGACGATCGATTAAGGTGCCGTTTGATCATCAATGCACGATGGTCTGGATGGATGTTCGTTGTACGTTAGAGAGGCGTTTTTCTTGAGCATGACTGGGCTATCCGACTGACAGCGGCTTGGAATAAAAAAATTTCACACAATTGACGGCCGATGAAACCAAAAATACGCGCAATAGCTTGTCAGAACCTCATACAGATGGTATTATCTCCAATAATCGGGGAGGTTCAGGGGTTTAGAGAGCTCATAATTTGAACCATTTTGCTCGCTCTAAATTCCGGACATTTGATCAGTCAAGGAACTTTCCCGAGGACGTTCATGGAACGTTCCCAACACATGAAATGAAAAATTCATTGATCCATTATAGGTTCCGGTGCTACCTGGGACAGTCTGCATCGATTTGACCGATGCCGACTCTTGGAAGAGAGACTGCGATTAGAACACGTGGAAATTCTTTTTTCTTCGGGAGGCAACCGTATCGAAATATCGAGATGATGCCGATTTCAGGACTAATTTCCATAATAAGCATCCAGTTATTTC